CCCGATGTCTGCCAGGGTTTTGGGGCGCTGGTGGTTGGATTTCCCTGCTGATCCCCACCCTGATATTCACAGCTGAGAGGGCAAAATGCTCGTGGGGAGGGTTTTGGGGGGCTGGGGGCTGGATTTCCCTGCTGATCCCAACCCCAGTGTCTGCAGCTGGGAGGGGGAAATGCTCGTGGGGAGGGGATTGGGGAGCTGGGGGCTGGATTTCCCCGCTGATCCCCATCCCGATGTCTGCAGTTGGTGGGGGGGAAATGCACGTGGGGAGGGTTTTGGGGGAGCTGGTGGTTGGATTTCCCTGCTGATCCCAACCCTGATATTCGCGGCTGAGGGGGGGGAAATGCACATGGGAAGTTTTTGGGGGAGCTGGGGGCTTGATTTCCACGCTGATCCCCACCCCGATATCCACAGCTGAGAGGGCAAAATGCACGTTGGGAGGGTTTTGGGGAGCTGAGGGCTGGATTTCCCTACCGATCCCCACCCCGATGTCTGCAGTTGGTGGGGGGGAAATGCACTCACTTTTGATCATGTTGACGTCGTTGGCCCCGTCCCCAATGGCCAGGGTGACGGCCTTCTTGTGCTTCTTCACCAGCTGAACAATGAGGGCCTTCTGCTTGGGGGTCACCCTGCAGCAGATCACTGCCTGGCAGCTGGTGGCCAAGTCCACAAAGGCCTTCTCCACCAGGCTCTCCTGCTCCTGGGAGCCCCCAGTCCTGCCACGGGGCAGCCACCGCCATGGCCACCCCTTCTTCTCCTTCAGCACCTCTCCCTTGTGCAGGATTTTGTCCTTAGGGGAGAGCACACGTGGCTGGGACCTCACCCCCAGCCTTCAGAGCCTGGGGGCCCCCAGCTCCTCCAGGATGCTCTTACATCTTGTAAATACCACAGAAAAAGTGGCTCTGGTTTTCTCCAAGCTTACCACACAGCAGACACTGTGACCACGGGACCAGTATGGCCCAGTATGACCAGAAGAGCCACCCATGGCTGTGCCATCCCAGAGGACTTGGCTGGGCGGGTGTTCCCCTCTCCACTCTTCATTCCCCAGCCCCAAATGGGCTTTTCCCACCCCTTGGGCAGGAGGGACATCATGTCCTCCACCTGCAGGTGCCACCCAGGGCAGAAACAACCCTCTGCCAGCACAGCCAGGGAGCAGAGAGGAGCATCCAGGTGCCACCTTACCAGGAAGTCCCCGCTGATGATGATGGCTCTCCTCCTGTGGCACGAAGCCTCTGGGCACTGCTGGGACAGGGGGCTGCTGCCTGGGCCTTCCCCACTGCCACTGAGGTTGTTGTTGCTCGCCCAGTAAGCCTGGAGGATCTCACTGTGTGAGGAAGGGGTGGTTGGAGCTGAGCTGAGGGCACCAGGCAGTCTGCCTGGCTTGAACTGAGACCCACGGCAGGTCTTTGGCATCTCAGAGCCAGGAAGAGGGGACTGGTACCCAGCAGTGGGAACAGGGGGGCAGAGAGGGAGCCCCAGGGGCTCACTGATATCAGAAATCAGCCTCTCTGCCTGTGGCTGGAGAGAAGCTCGAACCTTTCCTGCTCCAAGCCTGCCAAGGAGGAGCTGCTGTGACAGGGGGAGGCCTGGGAAAGCCTCGGCAGGTGGGACCGTGGACACGCAGGCTGGGACAGGGGAGCAGAAGCATCTCTGGGGAGCAGAAGCATCTCCCCTGCCCTGGTTCCTGAGCCCTCAGGTGTCCCATGCAGGGACAGTGAACCAGGAGGTCACAGTTCCTCACCTGATCTCCTTCTCCTCCAGGATCTCGGTGTCGTCCGTCAGCAGTCTGCAGGCGTAGCCGATGTTCGTGGCAGTCTCTGCAGCACACGGGGTCAGTGGTGCTGCTCCCCCCCCCAGGGCACCCCCAGCCCTCGGGCCCAGCACCTGCTGGGGGCTCTGCTCCAGCCCCAGCCATCCCAGTGGGGGCTTCCCCTGCCTCAGTTTTCCATGGGCAACCTGGTCTGTGGGAGACCTGATCCCAGTGGGACTCTGCTGCTGTATGAAGGGAGCAGCAGAACCCAGTTCCTTCCCACTCCCAGGGTCCCTTCTCCTCTCTGGTCACAGAACCAACTGGGTTGGAAAAGACCTCTGAGATCATCGAGTCCAACCTCTGACCCAACACCTCATTGTCTACTTGCTCGTGGCCCTGATGCCACATCCAGCCTGTCCTTAAACACCTCCAGGGACAGTCCTGGGGAGGGGAGGAGCTGAAATTTGTTTGTGGAGTCTGTGGCTGCCTTCACTGACCTCGTTTGTCTCCTGTCAGCACCCACACTTTGATGTTGCCCAGTTTCAGCAGCTGGATGGTCTCAGGGACTCCATCCTGCAGCTTGTCCTCGATGGCCGTGGCCCCGAGCAGCTGGAAGGAGGGAGAAGGGGTATCATGGCACCAGGCAGGGCAAGACATGGAGCTGGGAATTACCCCTGGATGAAGGAGAGTGAATGGGTGTCATGGCTTAGGGCAGGGCAAGATATGGAGCTGGGAATTACCCCTGGATGAAGGAGGGTGAATGGGTGTCATGGCTTGGGGCAGGGCAAGAGAAGGAGCTGGGAATTACCCCTGGATCCAACCAGCAGCCCTTGCTGTGGGTGGACATGACCTGACAGGTACCTACCCCAGTGTCTATGGGCACAGAGTCACACCTGGGGGGAACTCCACCTGTCCTCCCACCCAGGGGGTGGGTGTTGGGCTGGACACTTCACGCCCTCATCCCAGAGAGCTGAACCCCACACTCCTGCCCTCTGGGGCCGCTGCAGACGGGTCCTCCCAGCCCGTGTCCTCTTCCCACCTGCAGGTTCTGCTCCATCTCCTCGTACAGCCTGTCCAGCTCCTGGGCACGGCCCTGCAGCAGCACAGCGGCCTCGTGGTGCCTCCTGCCCCACTCCTGGTACTCGGCCTCGCTCACCTCCTTGCTGGCCAGGCACAGTGTCCTCAGGGTCTCCTCTGCAAAGAGCTGCAGGGAGGAGACATCAGGACTCCCATGGTAACCATGGGTAGAGCCAGGGACAGTCCAGGACCTGAGGGTCTCCCTCTGGGCTCTGACTCCCTCCCCCATCCTAAAGCACCCCCACGAGCATCCCTGCAGTGCAGCTGGTCCGTGCAGAACACCAGAGGTGGGTTTGATGCCCTCTTACCCCCTGTCCCAAAGCAGGTGAGGCTCCCAGAGCAGAGGGAAGAAAGTACCAAAATCCTGAAGCCAGAGGGAGAAAGAGCAGCTCGGGACACTCTGGGACACCCAGCCCAAAGGCAGCAGGAGGGAGAGCAGTGCTGGGGGGGACTCACATCCAGGGCCCTCTCGGTGAAGGCCTCGCTGCGGCCCCGTCTCCGCAGCCGCTCCAGGACGACGGTGTCGGCTCCCTTGGTGTAGAGCCGGATGCTGCCCTGGGGGTCTCGCACTGGGAGGGGGGGGAAGCACAGCTTAGGCCCCCTCAGAGGCAGCTCCCACCCACCACCCCTGAACAAGGGCCCCGCTGAGCCCTGTCGTCCCCCAGAAGGCACCGCAGGGCTCGCTGGTGTTTTTCCACGGGAAGCACGGGAATTTCCCGGGGCCTTCATTGCCACGAGGCAGGATCAGGCCTCAGGGACTGTCAGTTCCTCACACACCTCCTCTGGGCCCTGGATTTACTTGTTTTGTCTTGGCTGGTCAAACCCTTCTCAGATGCCTTCACCGAGGTATCTGGTGAGCAGAACCTCAGGGGTGACCAGGGTGACCCTCAGGAGCCCCAGTGCCAGTTTGGGTCACAGAATCACAGAATCATTTTGGTTGGAAAAGACCCCTGAGATCATCGAGTCTGACCAGTGACCCAACACCACTGTGCCACCCAGACCATGGCAGTGATGCCACATCCAGTCTGTCCTTACACACCTCCAGGGACGGTGCCTCCACCCCCTCCCTGGGCAGCCCCTTCCAATGCTCAGTCACCCCAGTGCTCAGTCACATCCATCCCAGTGCCATCCCTTGCAGGGCTGAGGATGGAAGGGACCCTCCATGTCCCCACAGGGGCTCCCTGAGTCCCTCCAGCCCCCTCACCCAGGACAGACATCCTCTTGCGGTCGCTGTTGAAGTCCAGCATGGCCAGCACTTGGTAGGTCCTCGTCCTCCCCAGCTCACTGATGGTGATGGTGTCCTGTGTTCGGGCCAGAAACACATACCCCAAGCTCCTGGCTGCCAACACCAGGGCTTCCTCATCCGGGGAGGCTGCCTGGTAAACCAGCTGGCCTGCAGAGAGGAGGGAAGGCTGGACATGGAGACTCCCGGGCAGACAATGCCTGGGCTTCTTGTCCAGCACCAACATGAGTGGGGGAAATCCCAAAGTCCAAGATAACAGGCCAGGGAAACTCAATCCTACTTGTCTCTTCTGGAGAAGGACTTTGGACAAGGGCCTGGAGGGACAGGACACAGGGAATGGCTTCCCAGTGCCAGAGGGCAGGGTTAGGTGGGATATTGGGAAGCAATTGCTGGCTGTGAGGGTGGGGAGGCCCTGGCACAGGTTGCCCAGAGCAGCTGTGGCTGCCCCACATCCCTGGAAGTGTCCAAGGCCCAGGTTGGACAGGGCTTGGAGCAACCTGGGCTAGTGGAAGGTGTCCCTGCCCATGGCAGGGGGTAGCACTGGATGGGCTTTAATGTCCCTTCCAACCCAAACCAGTCTGGGATTCCATGATCTCCTCCACTCTTTGCCCCAGACAGGACAAATGTCCAGACAGGGACGGATTGTCCCCCTGTGCTTCTCTTCCCCCTGGTGAGCTTTAGAACCCATCCAAAGGCACATGTCCATGACAAAGGGACAGTGGCACGAGCCACCCCCAGGCTCTCACCCCCCTGCTCCCCACAGCTGAGCTCTGCTGGGCTCTGCAAAGAGCCACCCCAGCCTCGGTGCCCCGAGGGGCAGCTCGGCCCCACTCCGAGCACGTCAACCCACCGCCCCTCTCCTCCACCATGACCGTGTGGCACAGGGCCAGCAGCCTCAGGAACTCCCTCAGCACGGGGTCACTGTCCCTCTGGGCGGCTTCCAACAGCATCACGTCCACCTTCTGCTCCCCGTGGTGGTCCCAGGCCGACCCCGACCCCTGCGGGAGGCACAGGTGGAGATGGGGCCCAGGGGATGTGACACAGCGAGGCTGAGCTGGCCCAGAGCCAGCCCTGCACTGCCCACACCCAGAGTGTGACCGGGTTGAGAATGAAAAACCAAAACATGAGAACTGTGTTATTTTCCAACCCCCCTTTCCCTGTCCTTCCCTGGCAGCTGAGGATGGGCAGGGATCATTGCCTGCTCCAGCCTGAGGGAGCACAGCCCACTCTCAGAGCCTGGGACACACAGGGCTGGGGTGACACTTGGTGTTCTGGGGCAGGGGGAGTTACTCACTGGTGGCTGTTTGTTCTCATGGCCTGTGCCTGGACCTGCCAAAATAAAAACACTTCAGTTAATCGGGAGTGTCACCAGCGGGGCTTGGAGCAGCTTCTCCAGAGGGGTTCCTGCTCCTGGGGGCCAACAAACGGCCGAAGGGCAGAGCTTTGGGATCGGGGTCAGGCTCCACCGGGATATCCAGGCCTGATCTTTCTGGCTTTTGGGCTGTTCAGACTTTTGACATGGTTTTAATGTTAAAAATTCAGCTCTACTTTCCCCTGCATTTCCTGGGAGATTGGCCAGAGGCTGCCGGGATCTCAGGGAGGTGCTGCTCCAAGTGGTGCACCCTGACACATCAGAGAGGGCAAAATTGGGGTTATTCCTGCTTTAAAACTTTGCTAGATTTTTTTTCCCCTCCTTTCTTTTTGCTTTTATCACTGTCCATTTGTCTCAAGCACCTGAGACAAACTTTCCCTTATCTCAGGAAAAAGAGCTCTGTGCTAAAGCTCTGGCTCACTCCACCACTAAATTTCACTCGTTAAGCACCAAGACAGCTCCCAAAAATGAGCCAAGAGCTCAAGTAAGTGTGGCAAGAATAGAAGGGACTTGGAAATTTTCAAGTTTTTAAGGGGAAAACCAGGCAGAGTCATTAAAAATATCAATTAAAAAAATTAAAATAAAAAGAAAAATGAAGGGCAATTTCACACATTCACTCTAATTAAACAACTTAAATGGAATGATAATTTCTTTGCCTCCTCCATAGGTCACCTGAAAGCCTCCAGGTGCCCAGATTTGGAAGCCAAGCTGGAGATTCACTGGAAAATGATGCAAAGAAGAAAAGCAACATCTTTTCTCCATGAGACCTTAACAGAAAATAAAAATCCGTGGGCTTCTCTGGCCCTTCTCCTGCTACTCATCTGCCTGGAGCTGATGATTCCAGGTGGGATCCCCCTCACCCAGGCTCTGTGTTTGCAGCTGGGTTGGGCTCCTACCCCAGGCTCCTTTTTTTTGTCAGGGGAAACCTCACTGATCTCAGCTGAGTTTGGGCCATGAAGCCTCTCCACTGCCAGAGGGCAGAGCTGTGCCCTGATTCCATGTGCTGGGAACACCAGGCCAGTGGGACCTGGGCCGTGGTGGCACCGGTGACGTGGGACATCAGAACGAGCTGAATCCCTGCAGCATCACCTGTCTCCGTGCTGGACCACCACGGTCACTCCACGTGCCCTGAGCTCCCTGGCCAGGCAGGAGGAGTGGGAAAGAACCAGTTCCAGGCCCACAGGACCCCTCCAGACTCGCTCCCAGCCGAGGTTACCGTAGATGGTGCCGTTGACACAGCACTTCTTGAAGGTCATGATGTTCTGTGTCAGGGTGCCGGTCTTGTCTGAGAAGATGTACTCGATCTGGCCCAGCTGGTCGTTGAGGCTGGTGCTCCTGGCCTTGGCTGGGATGTCCTTCACAGCATAATACATCTCCAGGTCCCAGTTGATAAAGAAGCTGTTCACCAGGTAGATGAATTCCAGCCTGGGGAGAAGAAAACAGGGAGAAGGAGACTGTGTTCCTCACATCCCAGGGGCACCTGGGGACCTGACCCGGGAAGGAAGGGCAGGGGGGAACTCCCCACCTGGGTCTGGCTGCTCTGGGCTGGGGGAGACAAGAGGGTTTCTGAAGCTCAGGGCCAGGTTTCCAGAAGGTTCATCACCCACCCAGGCAGCTGGGCTCCCCTCTGGAATTCTGGCCCTTGATGACAGAATTCACAGATCTGGAGATTCAGTGAAGGGCCAGAAAGTTTGGAAAATGCTTTTTTTTCCCAGCACAAACTGTGATCGTTGCCTGCTCACGGCGACTGTGCCCTTCTCTCCCCCACCCTGGGAAGCAGCACCTTCACCAGCCTCCCCCTCGGCCTGCCAGTGATTCCCAACATCAGAGCAGATCCCTATCCTGGTTTTCCTCGGGGAATACCTCAAAGCACATCCTCAATGTTTGTAGGGTACACACCCCACCCACCCTCCCCCTCTCCTGGATAGGGGAACACGTGGGAATGAGGTGCCCCAGGCCACACGCTGACCTTGAGTGCAGCCCCAGTTTGGGGCTGTGACCCCAGTTTGGGGCTGTGGCCCCAGTGGCACGTGGTGGGCGAGGGCAGGGGGTGGGGTCCCGAGCCCTGGTCACCTCCCAGCTCCGTGATCCTTACGTGATGTACATGGACATGGGAATGATGACGCTCAGGAGGATGGTGAAGCCCCAGAAGGTGAGGAAGGCCTGCTGGGCAGGGCTGGTGTTCCTGTAGACAGCAGCCAGGTAGCTGTGCTTCTCCTGGAACGTCCGGGCCCAGAACCCAGAGGCAACGGCGAGGCCGAGGGATGTGACCAACAGCAGCAGGAAGATCTGGGGAGGGAAAACGGGATGGGAACGTCCCAGGATGGGAATGTCCCGGGATGAGAACATCCCACCACAGAGGCCACCGCTTTTCTAGGACCAACGTTGCTTTGAGCACCCTGGTCCAGTGGAAGGTGTCCCTGCCCATGGCAGGGGGTTGGAATGAGATGGGCTTTAAGGTCCCTTCCAACCCGAACCGTTCTCTGATTCTGTGAATGTGTCAGACTTAAGGTATTTCGGGCAAAATATTGCAAGCTGAAGAAAATCAGCATCACCCAAGCAAGCGGCCTCTCATGAGGAGGCTGGTGAGCAGCCCCAGGAGGCTGGTGGAGCAGGGCAGAGGTGTTGGCACCACACTCACCACCACCACCAGCCGGTCCATCATGCGGTCCAGTTTGGTTTTCTTCCGCTTGATCTTCCCGCAGTTCCTCATGATTTTGGAATCAAATCCTGGACAGGGAATGTTTTAGAAGTAAAAAAGTGAGTCCACAGCCCCCCAGAAGGTTGGCTTGCAGCTGGGTGACGGGGGTTTCCTCCACAGCAACATCTCCCCTCCTCTGGAGGCTTTGGAGGACCATTCTCCGAGCAGTGCTGCTGACACCACATCTCCCCCACAGCCAAACCCTCAGTGCCTTGACCTACGACGTGCAGAGGACCCAGGGCGTGGTGCAGGTGAGATATCACCTGGCAGAGGTTTGATGCCACCACACCGTGTCCCTGCCAGCGAGCCCGATACCAGCGAGGCTCGGGACAAACATCTGGGGCTTGGCTGAGGCAGCAGCTCCTCCACCTTGTCTCTGCTGGGAACGGGACCTGCTGGTGCCAGAAGTGCTTGGGCAGCTCTTGTTTTGTGCCCCTGTGCCCGGGGGTGCTCTCACCAGCGTAGATCACCAGCCCGTAGCAGACGTCGGTGTTGCGGATCCTGCAGCCCCTCAGCAGGATCCTCTCGCTGTCCAGGGAGTGGGTCTGTCCCCTCCACTCCAGGGTGCCCGTGAAGCTGTGCATGCGGCTGTTGGGCTCCTCACAGGTCACCCTCCCTGCAGGAGAGGGCACAGCTCAGGGGCAAGCAAAAGGACCTTCCAAAGAGGGGTCTGGGGGCCTCTCGGGGAGATTCAGGCTTTGCCAGGGCATCTCTTGGGATGCAGCCCCAGGAATGCCAATAATGCCTCTGCCAACTCCAGCAGCTTTTATTCTCCTGTCTCTAGTGCCATAACAGACAGTGCCAAGGCAGAGGGCTTGGCTTTAGAAAACATGATGCTGCACTGGCAGGCCTTAAGCTGAGTCTCAAGGCTCTCAAAATTAAGGCACTTTCTCCTTTCCCAGCTTAAATTCCCGGGAATGAGTGCGGGATACAGCTGCAGGAATTGGAAGGCTGCTGTAGCTTTGACTTCCCAACACAGCTTCTCCAGTGTAATTTTCTCCATCCTCCTCACATCAGAAACAGTGAACCTGTACTGGCTTGTCTGAATTAGGTCAGTGACTAAGGGCACATTTCTCTCTCCTTCTGGTGCCTTCACAGCCCAGTTGAAGCAGCCAAGTGGAGCTGATTTGGAGGCTCAAATTCGGGTGAGGCTGGAAGTGCTGGGAGGTCACTCAGTGCAGGATCTGCACCGGGATAGGAACTAGAGGAGGGACCAACACAACACCCCCAGAGCCTCTGAGAGGGGAGACTGAATCCTGGGGAGGAGCAGAGGAAAAAAAGCCCGGGGTCTGAGCTCAGGTTTGGGAACCAATATATTGATTCCAAGTGGGAAAACCAAGATCCAGGGCAGGGGGAAAGGTGCACAACCCTGATGGGCCCATCACAGAGCCACTCAGCTGGGGAAGCACCTCCACCCAAAGTCTTTGTGTCCTGGCAGGCAGGAGGAACTGATGCATGGACTGACGGGGACAAGGGATCGGGGATCACTTCCCAAGGCTGAACCCATCCCATCCCACTGGGATGGTCCTGGACACTCACCATCGAAGGCAGCCATGCTCTCCTCGCTGCCCAGCTCCTGGTGGGTGACCAGAAGGGCTTGCCTGAACTTCAGGTTTGTTTCCCTGTGAACGAGAGCCAGGGAAGGGAAAATAAAACAACCCTGTGGGGTGACAGAGCCATTAATCCTGCTGTGAGAGCCGTGGGACAGAGGTGGCCATTAATTACCAGGTAATTACAGGAGTGATGGCAATGAAATGCCAGATGGGGACTTATTGTGCCAGACTTGGGGCACCTGTGCAGGAAGAGCCCTGGCCTGGGGTCCCTGCCTTTAAATCATCCTGCAGATGGAGGGACAGGGAGCCACTGTGCTCCTGCAGCTGGGAGGGACTGAGACATGGAGACACGGCCACAAGCCACTCTGTGGAAACCTCACGGGAGGTTTCAGACTCCCATTTTCAAAATTTGGGGCTCAAATTCCATTTCTAGGGTGCCTGTGGGTTTGGGGTTTTGGAGGATCCCCCACATGCTTTGGTTTCTGCTGAGCCCTCACAGGGTGTCCATCGCTGGGGGGTCCCCAAGACCAGGGACTTCAGCCTCTGCCCCTCTCCCCCCATGGCCACGGAGTGCCCTGTCTGCTCCTCACTGCATGGCCACCATGTCCCCTGTCCACTCCTCACTCCATGGCCATGGTGTCCCCTGTCCCCTCCTCCCCCATGGCCACAGGGTGCCCTGTCCCCTCCTCACTCCATGTTTATGGTGTCCCCTGTCCCCTCTCACTCCATGTTTAGGGTGTCCCCTGTCCCCTCTCACTCCATGACCACAATGTCCCCTCCTCACTCCATGTTTATGGTGTCCCCTGTCCCCTCCTCACTCCATGACCACGATGTCCCCTCTCCCCTTTCACTCCATGTTTATGGTGTCCCCTGTCCCCTCTCACTCCATGTTTAGGGTGTCCCCTGTCCCCTCTCACTCCATGTTTATGGTGTCCCCTGTCCCCTCTCACTCCATGTTTATGGTGTCCCCTGTCCCCTCTCACTCCATGTTTAGGGTGTCCCCTGTCCCCTCTCACTCCATGTTTATGGTGTCCCCTGTCCCCTCTCACTCCAAGATTTTGGTGTCCCCTGTCCCCTCTCACTCCATGTTTTTGGTGTCCCCTGTCCCCTCTCACTCCATGTTTAGGGTGTCCCCTGTCCCCTCTCACTCCATGTTTTTGGTGTCCCCTCCTCACCCGTCGATGTCCGCCGTCTCCACGTAGCACAGGCTGCTGGGCTCGGAGCTGCACAGCAGGAGCACGTCAGCCTTGAGGAGCCCAAAGGAGGAGAGAGGAGCCAGGTGAGCCCTCCCTGCTCACCACCAACCCCCCACCCCGTGCCCAGCCAGCCCCGGGCTCACCGGGACCACGCTGTCCTTGCGCAGCCGGACGATGTCCCCGACGCGGATGTGGCACCACTTCTGCCGCTGGAACCTGCGGGGGATTTGGGGAGGGGGGAAATGTTTGTCCCTGCAGAGCAGGGGTTGGAGGCCCTGGGTGTTTCTGCCCATGCCTGCCCCAGATTCCTGTGGGAATGGGGTCTCTGGGTTCCTGTGCTGCAGGAGTGAGGGTTGGCTGAGCACTGAGGGTGGCACAGGAGCCACCTGTCACATCCCTCTACCCACAGGTGACAGGGACTTTCAGCCCCCTGGGCACAGGGGGGAGAAGTTCGTCCTTCCCTGGAGCGGTGCTGAGCAGGGACACGACTCTGTGGGTTAGATCTGGTGACCTGGAGGGGTTCTGTGGCCAAGGGAACCCCACTGCCAGCACAGCCCAGGGGGGCTCTCCTAGACCTGCTGTCCATGACCGGAATGGGATCGTCCCTACGGGGGAACAGTTGGACCTGCAGCAGATTTGGGAGCCAATGGGAGTGTGCAGAGCCAGGGACAGTCCCAGCAAAACCCTTCCCAGCTGCTCAAGGATTCTCAGCCCTTCAGATGATCCACAGTGTGGAAAACACGGGCACAGCTCCCCAGAGCCCCTCACCTCTTCCCACAGAGGATTTCACAGGGCCTGCTGTTGATGCTCCTGTCGCTTTGGTGACGGCCCTGCACAGAGGGGAGAGAGAGAGGGAGGCCAAAGCAAAGGGATGGGCCATGCCAGGCTGCCCTGTCCCAAAAAACAACCCCCTCAATGCCACCACCTGCCTCCTCAGCCCCAGGGCAGGACCTGCCTTCTGAGCTGTCAGGAGTTGTGTTCTGATTAAAAAAAGGGTTGAATTCCCCCCCCCCCCAGGTGCTTCAGAGGACCAGCCTGGCAATACAGCCAGTGGTTAAGGTGTTGAAGATGACAGAAATGGGGGTCTAGACCCCCGAAAAAGCACCCAGCTGGTCACATCCTTCCCAAGGGAGGATCAAAGCACTGTGGATGTGGTGCAGTTGTTGATACCACAAGAACTATGGACAACAGCAGCTCCTGAGCTTCTCAGCTCACCTCACAGCAAGGGGCCCCTCTCTGCTCCTGTCCCCCAGGCCCCACATCCCACATCCCACCCCAATCCCACCCCCACTCACGATGTCATCGATCAGGTCCCGCAGGCCCCGGATGACGAGGAGGCAGCTCAGGGGGAGCAGCAGAGTGTACCAGGGCACCGTGGAGATCTCGGGGAAGGTCTAGAGGAGGAGAATGTTACACCACTGACACGACTTTCACCCCACCTTGGGACTCCTGTGGTGGCTGAGTAACCCCCTCACTCCCCAGCCGGGGCCTGAGGGTGGCAGGGACCTGCCTGGGAACCATCGGATCAGCAGCTCTGCCTGCAGAGACCTGGATGGCTGCATTCCCACCCCTTTTTGAAGGGAAATGTGTGGAATGTGTCATGGGTCTCTGGAGGGTTGGATTTCTGTTTTGGTCTGTGTGAGCTCTGGCTACATCCAAGCCCAGTGAATGTCACTGAATCCCAGAATGGTTTGGGTTGGAAGGGACCTCAAAGCTCATCCAGTGCCACCCCCTGCCATGGGCAGGGACACCTCCCACCAGCCCAGGTGGCTCCAAGCACCCTCCAACCTGGCCTTGGACACTTCCAGGGATCCAGGGGCAGCCACAGCTGCTCTGGGAAACCTGTGCCAGGGCCTCCCCATCCTCACAGCCAACAATTCCTGCCCAATATCCCATCTCACCCTGCCCTCTGGCACTGGGAATCCACTTCCCCTTACCCTGTCCCTCCCTTGTCCCCAGTCCCTCTCCAGCTCTCCTGGAGCCCCTTTAGGCCCTGCAAGGGGCTCTCAGCTCTCCCTGGAGCCTTCTCTCTCCAGGTGAACCCCCCCAGCTCTCCCAGCCTGGCTCCAGAGCAGAGGGGCTCCAGCCCTTGGAGCATCTCTGGGGCCTCCTCTGGACTCTCTCCAGCAGCTCCACATCCCACTGACGTTGGGAAAATTTAATTTAAAGTAACCAAACAACACGGGTTAAACCCCTCAGAGTTCACGAAAGACACTGGACACCAGGGAAAAGCAACATCCCTGGAGAGCTTTTAGACCTGAGTTCCCCCCTTTAAGCTCCAGAGAACCCTCCTCCCCCACACCCCCCTGGTGTCCCTGTCACCTGCAGGAGGATGACGAAGACGAAGTAGACGTTGGCCATCCTGTGGAACTGCTCGTAGAGGTTCAGGGGCAGGAAGGTGAGCAGGTTGTACTTGGCTGTTTTGATGGCATTGCCCTGCAGGGGAAAGGCAGGTCACAAATCAAGGATCTGCTTTGTGAATCCCCAAAACATTCCGGTGTTTGTGGGACTTTTCCTGGGGTAAGAGGTGCCTTAAAAAATAACCAAAGCCATGGGGAAAAAATAAGGGGGATTTATTAGAGCAAAGGGCCACATAAATTTGAAACAAAATAATTGCTTTTTGATCATCTAAAGCCCAGCTGACTGACCCCAAACAGATGGCCATTATTTAGCTAAAATAAAAAAAAAAATCTGATTTTGTTCAATTAAAACTTTTTGAAAAATCTTTTTATTTGACCATCAGACTGAAAAGTTTCCTTCACGGAGTTGTGGTCCTTGTCTGACAGTTTTAGGGGCACCTGAGAGGGAGGGAGCAGGTCCTCACTGAGGACTATGGATGGGACTCTCCACCCCACTGGAGACCCCTCTGGAGCATCTCTGCCACGTCCCCCCCACCCACCACAGGCTCAGGAGTGAGGGAACGGCCCAGGCTGGGCTGGGCTGGCTCACCCTGTACTTCTTCCTGCTCAGGCAGAAGGCAAATTTCTTCTTGGACTGTGCGTGGTACCGTCGGTCGTTGGCCCTCACCTGCCACGTGAAGGCTGGGAAAGCAAGAGGACACCCCCAGCTCCCACCACAGCCAGGACACCCCCCAGCTCCCACCAGAGCCAGGACACCCCCAGCTCCCACCAGAACCAGACCCTCCACTCCCACCAGAGCCAGGACACCCCCCCAGAGCCAGGACACCCCCAACTCCCACCAGAGCCAGGACACCCCCAGCTCCTCCCAGAGGGCACCAGGACCAGCAATGGTCCCACTGGGCTCGTGGTGACCCACTGGTGGGGTGGGAATTCCAGTTTGAGGGGTGCTGCTGGAGGCACAGCTGGGACAGGGGTGGGGGACAGGGCCAGGACAGGGCCAGGACAGGAGGGCAGAAGTTTCCAGAGGTGCAGGACCACTTGCAAACACCCCCTCTCGAGCCTCAGGCTCACCCTTTGGGCTCAGGGTTTGGTTTGTCAGGGACTGCAGGATGAGTCCCCCCAAGCACAGTCTGTTCTGAAGTCCTGCTGGTTCCTCTCCTGATTTCATCTTTGCCATCCCAATGTTTTGCTGTCCCAAATTTTACCATCCCAGTATTTCACAGACCCTGCCAAGCAGGGGACATTCCCAGCCGTGTTCCCAGTGCCTTCCCCACAGCTGGACATTCCATCCTCACCTCAGATCTGCCTCTTGCCCACCTCACAGCCCTGTCCCACGCTCAGATTTCTCACAAACCATCTAAAAAAACCCAAGATAAGATCCCCAACCCCCCCTGGTTGCACACTGACCTGGCAGCTCCTTCTTCCCCCGTGGGCAGCCCGTGCCTGGGTCCTGCTCAGCCATGGTGGCCCCAGTGCCAGGAGCTGGGAACAAGGACAACCCCAGAGGTGTGAAATGCTGAGCAGGGACAGCAGGATCCCACCAGGATCCCTCCCAAAGCTGGGCCCCTCCAGGGCAGGACACCAGGCAGAGAGGACACCATTCCCAGCAGCCTTTACCCAGCCCCTGGGACAGCTCAAAGACATTTTTCCCCTCTGAGGGAGTTCTGGGGAATCACTGGAAGCTGTGGGTGAGGAACTGGAGCCCTCCCTGTCCTGCCCTCACAGTCCAGCACCCGTCAGGCTGAGGGAGCAGCCACCTCCATCAATGCCAACGTTCCCCTGAGCTCAGTGACCTTCCTGCAGGGATGGTGGGGAAGATTAATTAATGCTTGTGAAGAGCTTTGTGATCCTTACATGAAAGGAGCCAGTGAGGGATAAAGCATTAATTACCTTATTATTAAATAATCCCACCAGAAGTCTGTCCCTGCCATTATTGCTTATCCCACTCCTTTGATCACCACTTTATTCCCCGTTCTTTTACTGAAGTATCTCCTTCCCTCTCGCTCCTCGTGGATGTTGGTTTGCCCCAACACACTCACAGGTGCCACCAGCTGGACACCCATCCTCATCCCAGGTCACCTCATCCTGGCTCCCATCCCAGCTCCAAGAGACCCTGAGCTCCAACCTGGGCAGCACCTCTGCCCCTGCAGCCCAGAAAAACCTTGGATCCACGACATCATCCTTCCTTACCACCAAGGACTCGTGTGCCACCGTCCCTGGATCCCAAATGACACCCAGGCTTGGGTTGGGTTGGGAGGGACCTTAAAGCCCACCCAGTGCCACCCCCTGCCATGGGCAGGGACACCTCCCACTAGCCCAGGTTGCTCCAAGCCCCGTCCAACCTGGCCTTGGACACTCCCAGGGATGGGGCATCACAACTTCCCTGGGCAAGTTTGACCCCCAATATTTGGGGCCCATCCTTGTTTTGGCAGCACAGCTGAGGAGGAAGGAGCTGCTGTGTGTGGTGGGACACTCCTGCTACGTCTCACAGCTCCCACTACCATTTGTCCCACAGATAGGAGGGAGTGGGAAGCACAGGGGTGCCTGGAGGGATGAGATTTCTCCCAGGAGGAAAACCCACAGAAGCCCCTCAGTGCCCTGATTGGCCCTTCCCCTTTGCTTTGCTGAGGCAAAATAGGATTTGGCCCAGGGTCAGGTGCAAATCTCCACATCTTCCTCCCTGCTGTGACCCCACTGGTGCCCTTGTCCCAGGGGCACTGTCAGCTGGGGACACCTTTCCCTGCAGACAGACTGTCCTGGGCTGGGTCTGGTTGGAAAGGGCCAGAGGGGGCACAACAAATCCCTCCCTCCCCAGCTCCTGGCAGGCACATTTCCCTGCCTCCTCCTGACAGAGGGATGGGCTCCCCTGGCCACAGCAGGAGCCTCCTCCTCAGGGGCCATAAATGGGATCCAGGCTCAGGGGAGACACCTGCTCCATGGAGAGCATCCAACAGGAGACCAGAGGAACCTCAGGGTGTCCAGTCACTTGCTCCCAGCCCTCCCAGCCAGCCAGTGCCCGTGGTTTGTCCTGGTGGAGGTGACAATCCCTGCCCTGACCCCAGCCCTGGGAGTGTCCAAGGCCAGGTTGGATGGAGCTTGGAGCACCCTGGACTGGTGGAAGGGGGTTGGAACCAGCTGAGCTCCCTCCCAACCCAAACCATTCCAAGGTTCTAAGCTGCAGCACTCAGGACAGAGCCAGGGGGGGCAGTTGGGGTCAGCCCTGAGCCTGGACCTCTGGGCAAGCTTGTGATGATGAGGCAGGTCCAGATTCAAGCTTGGAAGTCCACAGTCAGGATGACAAAGGAGACAAAGGGCAGGGTGAGAGGGTGAGACAGAGCCCATCCTTTGGGACAGGACAGCCCCAAGGGGCAGGGACAGGGCTGGACCCATGGCCAGGCAGGGGTGTGTGGCCAAGCTGGAACAGACCCACCTACCTGGGGGCTTGGTCTAGAACTGACCCTGGGCTGAGCTTCCCAAGCCCACAGTGATGGGTGAGGGGTCCCAGTGAGGCTGCTCAGGGCCATTGACTCCTGTTCATGCCCTGGGGGTCCTGGCCCTGGGCTCAGAGCATCTCCTGACCTCGCCCCCTTCTCCAGGACACCAGCCCTGGAGGTGAGGCTGGCAGTGATCAGTGCCAAGGTGTTTTCCTGGGCTCTTTCCTTCCAGACCAGCAATGGTGGTCAAAGGGTGGGGCCCTGCCCTGCTTCTCAGAGACACACCCGGAGACCTGGGTTTGCCTGTGGTTGTCCCAGTGCCCCCTGTGCTCAGGATCTGGCCTGGAGCTGGTGATCCATCACATCCCCACTGTGCCTGGCATCTCTGAGCCCCATTGTACCCAGCAAGGCTCCAAAGTGTCCCTGTTCCCAAACAGTGCCAAACAAAAGTGTGGCTTATTAAGCACCTGCACTTGGCAGATGTGGGACACTCCAGGGGCTGAGCTGTGCAAAGGCAGCCAGGAAAAAAATGCCTCTTGTGGGGCCCGGAGCAGGGGGGAAGGGAGGGGAAAAGGGTGATCTAAAGCACTTGAAAAATAATTTCACAGAGGTATCCAAGAAACCTCAGTTCCAAGAAGGCTCTCGACAAACCTCACTCATCGCCTCAGTAATTAGAAATAAAACCTGCACTCTGGGGAGGCGGGAACAGCCTGGGAGTGGGTGCCAGGGCCCCCTGCCAGCCCCAGCCCTGCGGGCCCACGGCCAGACCCTGCACTGGGGCTTCCCAGGACACCCTCTGAGCACTGCCCCACAGCTCAGAGCCCAGCAGTGATTTCCTAACCCATGGGCTGTTCCACCAACCCAACACCAGGATGATCCAGCTGGTCCATCCAGCCCGGCAGGGAATGTCCCATCCTGCCAATCTCTGAGGTTTCCAGCTGCAAAACAGCCCCACGGAGCTGCTGGGTGCTAACAGGACCCAAAGCAGGGCTTCCTCCCCCCAGCAGTGCAGTTCTGGGCTGTTGGGGGTTTGCAGGGCTGAACAAAAATCAGGTTTAAGCAGGGCTGGGCGTTGAGCCACGAGGGTTTG